TATGTTCTTTGCCAGCCTAGCTAGGTTTACTTCTTTTATCAGTGGAAAGTGACAGGTGCATCAGTCCTCCCCGTTGGTGCCAAAGAAATACCAGGTGTATCCCTCAGAATGCATATAGCCAATCTCCTGGATTTGCCACCACCCATATATCTTTAATGATCTTCCAGATGTTGCTTTCTTAAGATGTTTACATTCTTTATCAGATTATCTTTTACTCCTGGCACCAAGCACTTTAGCATATTTTCAGATATCAGAGTCTTAGGATAGTATTTTCTTTGAGATTTAAACAAAAAAATATTCTACATAGTACTTGTAATCTCTTTCACAGTTGTAATTGCCTTTCACAAAGTTGGCTTTGTCTGATTTTTTGCTTCTGCTGTTTATATCTTGGTAGTGCTACCTGTTGGTTCCTTCATAAGCAGTGACAGCAATCTTCTGAACTAGGCTGAGGCCCAGTCAAGTGTGGACAGACATATGTATTTCTTATCTCACTGTGGTTTCATTTTTCTGCATGTCTGCCCTAATCTAAGCTTGTACTGGGAGCTGCAGTGCATCTCGTGTCTCGGCCTAGGGAGGAATAGTTCATTGCATATTTTCTCAGAGACAGCTGGGCGCTTCGCAGGGAGTGGTCCCCCCTCCCTGTCACCAGGGCAATTCTCTTTCACATCCCCCAGGACAGATGGAGAATGAAGAAATTAATAATTCACAGTGTATATATAAGTGGTGATTCTTCCTAGACTGAAATGTACTTGCATTTTGTTCAAAAACATCTTGATGAAGAGAGGCCTAATGGTGAACTAAGAGTTAGAACATAGGAAGTAGGGGAACTCTACTAAGAAAATGGACAAGACAGGCCAGGCAGGGTGGCTCACATCTGTAATCCCAGCACTTTGGGAAGCTGAGGCGGACGGATCACCTGAGGTCAGGAGTTTGAGACCAGCCTGACCAACATGGAGAAACCCTGTCTCTACCAGAAATACAAAATTACCCCGGTGTGGTGGTGCATGCCTGTAATCCCAGCTACTTGGGAGTCTGAGGCAGGAGAATCCATTGAACCTGGGAGGCGGAGGTTGCAGTGAGCCGAGATCGCGCCATTGCACTCCAGCCTGGGCAACAAGAGTGAAACTCTGTCTCAAAAAAAAAAAAAAAAAAAGAAAAGAAAATGGACAAGACAGACTGAAATTAGCCAGCAGCCATTAGCTCAGGTACCGTTTAAGTGCTCATTGTACTGATTGATGTTTGGATAGTACATTAGCAGAAATATTATTTACTTGCACTTACGTTCATGTGATCTGTAGGACTCGGGGTCCTGCTGGTGTCTGTAGTCATAGTTAAGTTTATAGTCAGTTCCTGGTTGGTGCTGGGGAAAAGAAATCAGGATGCATTCATCGTGAAATACCCTTACTCTCCTCTCAGGAGAGAAGAGGAAATGAGCGTGTTCTCTCTCTTGGTTAGAAACAGATAAAACTGTGTCCCATTAGCAATTGGATAGGAAACGATAACTGGAACCTTCTGTCTAATCTGGTTTCCTTAAATGTACGGAGCAGATAACTGCATCTGGGGAGTAGGGCTCTTAGTAAGGGTTATGGGGGCTTCAGTTGCAATGGCTCCAGTTGAAGAGCCATGGGATTTTCATCTGTCCTAAATCATCTGAGTGTTCTTCTTCTTCAGATTAACTGGGTTTATCTGTTACAGTATATAATTCTGTTGCTTTGTTATATATTTGAAAAGCACTTAGCGTGTTTTGAAATGTAGCGCTGAAATGACTTTGAAATGTCAACTCTGTAGTTTTAGTTTTAGGGCACAGTTCTTGCAAATTCCTGCTTTTCCTCTCTGTCTCTAGTACCTCTGAAGTCAGTAGTTGCAAACAAACAAACCTTAAAGCCTTTTGTATCACTTTTCTTTGGGATAGTTGTTGAATTCAATAGCTCATTATTTCACATAATATTGTGTTCATAGTACAATTTAACATGTAGTCTTTGAATGTTATAAATTCTAAAAGATTAAACAAGAATATTAGAAAAGGAATGAAAAGTGCCCTTAAAATGCTGCCCTAGGCTGGGCACAGTGGCTCACTCTTATAATCCCAGCACTTTGGGAGGCCAGGGTGGGTGGATAACCTGAGGTCAGGAATTCAAGACCAGCATGGCCAACACGGTGAAACCCTGTCTCTGCTAAAAATACAAAAATTAGCTGGGTGTGGTGGTGCGTGCCTGTAATCCCAGCTACTCTGGAGGCTAACGCAGGAAAATCGCTTGAACCTGGGAGGCGAAGGTTACAGTGAGCCAAGATCACTCCAGCTTGGGGACAACAGTGAGACTCCCTCTCAAAAAAAAAAAAAAAAGAAAGGAAATATACATAATAGGAATTCCAGGAATATTATGGATTCTTCTTTTTAAGGTCCCGGTCACCAGGCGCGGTGGCTTATGCCTGTAATCCCAACACTTTTGGAGGCTGAGACGGGCGGATCACCTGAGGTTGGGAGTTTGAGATCAGCCTGACCAACATGGAGAAACCCCATCTCTACCAAAAAAATGCAAAATTAGCTGGGTGTGGTGACAGGTGCCTGTAATCCCAGGTACTCGGGAGGCTGAGGCAGGAGAATCACTTGAACCTGAGAGGTGGAGGTTGCAGTGAGCCGAGATTGCGCCACTGCACTCCAGCCTGGGCAGCAAGAGTGAAACTCCCTCTCAAGAAGAAGAAAAAAAAAGTCCCAGTGAACTGTGGGTACAATGTAACACTTACACACTTAGGCTGAGTTACTCTCTGTACTAGGCAGTCATGTGCATAGGTTCCTTTGTGTGTTCGTGGTAATCGTTCAAATCTTGGATCCTTGGCGATCCTTAGAGCCACTCGATACTTCTGCCCCAATTTCTCAATTTCAGCCATTACACAATCAGTTATCCAAGGGATACACTTGGCATACAGACAGTCCATCATTGACTGCACTAAGTCCATTTGACTTTTGTGGAAAAGTTGATGAAGTTGGTATCAACAAGGATGTGGTAAGGTGGGCCCAGCTGTGTGTTATATTGGAAAAATAAGTAGGAAGGGTGTTGGGGAACTTCTCTTTCCTTTAACGTGCTGGGATCCTTCTTTTCTTTCTCTTTAGGTTTTACTCTGTCCTTTTCTTTAAGCCTCCGATCTCTGAGACTAAGCATTCGCTTCATGGTTGCATAGTTCCTTGTTTTTTTTTTTGCTTCCTCATGGTCATGCCATACTCCTGTTTCTTCCGTAATCACCAACAGCACAATACTTTTACCTGGAATACATTTTTATGTTAGTTAAAATATCTCTGTCCTTTCTAATAGATTCAATGAAGATAAGTGTTTTATTTGTGGATTTGAGGGCATAAATCTGAAGCTACATGAACTGAATTGCTTATCATGTAACACTTCATTTTCCTTTTCCATGACCAAATCTCTTTTCTACTCTATTTTCTAATGCTAAGTTATTGTAAAACTGTCACGGTTTCATATATTCCCAAAACCAGGAATGTGTCTTATCTGAACTTCCTTAAACTCGTGATGAGTCAGAGGAGGCCAGTCTTCATTAGTAATCAGCACCAAATTCATTTCAAAGAAAGATCTGTGTGGACATAGGATTGGTATGGAGAAAAATATGGTGATAAATTAACTCTGTCTCTTGTGTAGTTGAGTAATAGAATTTCATTGTCGAACGCTGACCTGAGATACATGTTTTCTTTTATCAAAGTAGAAAATGAGTTGCTGTAAGTAAAGAAACTGTATTAGATATTGTGTAACATGGAGATTTTTTTTTTCTATTAAGTACTAACATTGCTTTTGTTTCTGTTCCAAACTTTGAAATCAATGCACTTGGAGAAAATGTAAACTACTTTTCAAGGTCCTACAGAATAGATGTTTATGAATATATTTTCATGCATGATTGGTAATGAATCAGGTCTCTTTCATGCCATTGCAGTTAGAGGGCCTCTGGTGCTAGAGTCCTCTGGAGGACTGGGCAGTTGGAGTGGGGGCAGCGGGGTGCATGCGGGGAGGGCTTTTCTCTTTCTTCACGGGGTCTCAGGGCCTCTCGTTTCCTCTCCATGTATGCTCTTCCCAGGTCTCTCCAGCAGGGTAGCCAGGTATCTTACATGGCGGCCTAGGGCTCCCAAAAGCAAACATTCCAAGAGGAAGCAGGAGCTGCCAGTCCTTTTAAAGACGAGGCCTGGGTCTGACATGGTGTGACTTTTATTGCATTTTATTGGTTAATGCAGATTACAGGCCCCATCAGTTTCAGATCAGAAGACAACAAGGGAATGAGGCTGGGTTCCTTGGAGGCTATTTTTTTTTTTGAAATAGTCTCGCTCTATTGCCAGGCTGGAGTGCAGTGGTGTGATCTCGGCTCACTGCAACCCCTTGGAGGCTATTTTTAGAGATGAACTATCACAGTAATATACCTTAAAAATGCTTCATTTTAGACAGTTTTTGTGTGTTCTAGGGGTGGTCAGTTGCACTAACCAAGAATCTGTGAGGTGTGGTTAGCCAGCAGTATATCGGAAGAGCTGTACTACCGGGGCTGCCACTATAAGCATTTCAGCTATGCAAATTTTGATCAAAACTAAGCCAGACATGTGGATGTTTCTTGGTGGGGGAGGAATTTCCTGTCCCCAGGGACAATGAGGCTTCCCTAGGTTGGGACTGGGTGTGATGCAGTCCCTCTTGCTGGCTCTTCCCACATCCCCACTGCTCCCGTCCTCCTCTGTCTCCAGGTTGGTAGAGGAGTCAAGCATGAGGGGAAGGAGAGCACTTCCCTTAGCAAGTTATTGTTTAATGGGAGCTGGTGGGAAGAGTTCTGTCATTTAATACTCCTTGCTGGTGGTGCTATATGTAGTGAAATCAACTGCGACAGTGATAGGGACCTTAGAGATCATCAAGTCCTACCTCTACACCATGAAGTTAATCTTCTCTCACCATCTCTGGCACATCCCTCAGCAAGCTAGAAACAGAACTCTGCGTTTTTTCCATAAAGTACGAGAAATAATGATTTCACCTTTAAAAACTGCCTTCTTGAGCAAGTGTCCATTTGGTCACCCAGATTTCATTGGTCCTAACTTTCATCAGGTTGTTCTTGCAGAACGTGCCAGTAGAAGCATTCACCAACTGAAATGTGCCCTGAAAGAAGGTGATGTCACTATTGGAGAAGATGCACCAAATCTTTCTTTTAGCACCAGTGTGGGAAATGAGGATGCCAGGACAGCCTGGCCCGAATTACAACAGAGCCATGCTGGTGAGTATGAAAGTCGATCCTAGCCTGAATGATGCATAGTGAATTTTTTAAACTCCATAGAATAATAAGTCCTTTAATTCTTCGTTCTGCTGCTATGATGTTATTCCTGAAACACAAATCAGATAATTTAATTCCCTTGCTTAATCTTTTTTTGTTTGACTTCCCAATGCCTATAGGCGAAAGTCCGAAATTCTTAGTTACAAAATAACAGTGTTTTCCTAAGATAGCTCCAACCTGCCTCTTTGGCTCATCTTTGTGTACTTCTCATGTTAATCATCCATCTCACAACTCATATTCTAGTTATAATGACCTCCTCGCTATGCTTTTATGCTTTGACATGTGCAGTGCCTTCTAATTGGAATTTTTCTTATCCTTTTCTACTTGGTGAACTCCTTCCTGTTCGTCCTTGCAGTGTTATCTCCTCTGTGAAAACAAGCACAATTAGGTGCTTCCTCTTCTTGTAGCACAGTGCACAGCTCTAGGTCTACATACAAACTTATTTTATATCAGTGTCTCTCTCTTCATTGCTAGATTCTTAGCACTTAAGGGGTAGAAATTCTTTTTTTTTTTTTTTTTTCTGACGTTGGTCTTTGTATCCCCAGTTGATGGCAGAATTCTTGATGCATAATATATATTTCAGCAATTTTTATTAGTTGGAAAGATGGATGGGTGGTAAGAAACCATGGATCTCAAATAAGGTTAATAAACCCTCTGCTTTTGCTCTATAGTTAATCAGCTCAAAGATTTGTTGCGCCGACAAGCAGATAAGGAAAGTGAAGTATCTCCATCAAGAAGAAAAATGTCCTCTTTGGTAAGTATCAGCTTTTCCAACTTGACAAAGCATTCCTATGTTTTACTGTACTGTGTCATTTTGTAGTACATGTTGCAGAAAAATTTAAGCATGGCATGCTAATAGTGAAAAACATTAAAAGTAATTCTTTTCCCTCTGATGATTTTGGCTGAAAAAATAGATTTCCATGGCAGAGGGAATCTTGATATTTTTAATTTACTATTCACTTGGAAACTGGGAGCAAGAGAATAGTTTGGAGAATTTATTTTGCAACTGTTAGCAAAATATGTAATACAAATATATAAATATATTATAAATTAATATAAATTAGATAAGTCAAAGGAGAATATATGTAAAAGATAAACTAATGATTTTAGTAATTTCTTTTTTAGAGGGCCATATCTATCATCCATCATTTTTAGAAGTTACTTAATTATAATTGAAGCCCGCCTTTGTAATATTTTAAAATTTTGAATGTCAAAATAGTACATTTTGTTTTTAATTAATTAATTTTTTTTGAGATGGAGTCTCATTCTGTCGCTCAGGCTGGAGTACAGTGGCATGATCTTGGCTCACTACAACCTCTGCCTCCCCGGTTCAACTGATTCTCCTGCCTCAGCCTCCCTAGTAGTTGGGATTACAGATGTGCACTACCACACCAGGCTAATTTTTTGTATTTTTAGTAGAGATGGGGTTTCACCGTATTGGCTAGGCTGGTCTCAAACTCTGAACCTCAGGTAATCCACCTGCCTCGGCCTTCCAAAGTACTGGGATTACAGGCATGAGCCACCGCACCCAGCCTCAAAATAATATGTTTTAATATGTAATGTTCTTCTATATGTTAAAATATATGGTTATAAAATTGTATGATATATAAGAAGTCGTGCTGTATTTCTTCTGAGGCTGTTTTTTATTGCTTTGACAGAGTATATTATTCCTGATTAAAGCATTTTATATGCTAAAGGCTGAGATAGATATGAGTGAAAGAACTCTGAACCAGATTTAAGTGGCCAAAATAAGAGTCAAGGGCTTAGTTCTATCTAAGGTCTATCACATACTCTTTAGGATATAGTGCCTGTCTCACGGAGTTTTTGGAATAACGAGATAAGATTACATACTTAAAATTCTTTAGAAACCTATGAAGTGTTACACAAACATAACATGTCAGAGCAGCAACCTCACATTTTCAATGTGTTTTATAGTTCAATACAGTGCCTATATGCTGGAAAGTGTGGAGACATGTTACTTTCTTTTCTTCACCACTGAAATGTCAGAATATCACTCCCATAAGAGCACTTCATTCCAGGCTGACACAAACTTTTAAGCTTAATTCCAACTTTAGAGAAATGTACTTCATATGCATATTCAGTATTTATAGATATAGATTTTATACTTTTAATAAAATATCTCATTATTTAATGAATTTATTACTATTGACGTCTGGTTTCTAGCATGCTCTTAAGCACACACTGGTGGAATGCTTTTAAGTCTACCTAGATGCAGTTGCTTTTTCTGTTGAATCCTCAGACATGCTTATTCGTTTTTTAAAGCCTGAGCAAGTGATATTATGGAGCTTATTGAATCCAGGCAGGCTGGAAGACCTTCATTAAGAGAATCAATTTAGTAGATACAGAGTACACTTTAAAATATACAAGTCTATTTATATGGAGCTGTGTAAAAGAATGGAACTTAGACTCTAAATGTATATAGCCTACATGTAATAATTATAAACCATAATAGTAATAATTAGCTTTTTAAGATTATACCCTTAGAATGCACTTTCATAGCCAGTATAACGTATTAGAAATACATGCATATATTGAGAGTAAAACTGAGGCACTCTTGAGATGGAAAAGAAGTTATTACTTACTGTCTTAAAATGTAGATATCCAAACTAAAGCCCTTTAAAGTAGACACAAATGATTTCAGGTGAACGTGTTTCATACAATATTAGCCTGAGCTTTTTATTTTTCACATTGACTTCCTGCTGTATACTCATAGTAGTAATTTATATTTGCTTACCTTGTGAACCTATTTCTGTTAATGAAGGATGATTCTAATTGTTTGATTTCTACTCATGACAGATGATTCATTTAGTTAGAGTTACTTTGGTTTTTAAATATCTTCAATACACCAAAAAGCAGAGCTCTATTTTATTTTATTCTGCCATGGTAGCTGGTGCTTGGTTATCGTTTAAAATTTCTGCTGTGCTGAGAAAGAGAACAGCTGAGAAACAGACACTGTGTCTCATTTCAAGCTTTCCTCTGGGTTTGTTTAACTGGGTGACCCTTGTTTTCCCTTTTCCTGATTTCCTCATCCTTTTAAAAAAAAATCATGTGATGTGTATATGATTTTACAAACTGTATCACAGTCACTTTAAGATAAGGTAAGATATACATTAGCAGTAAGTTCCAGGAATGCTACAGAGCTAAAATAACATTAGTGTTTGTTTTGAAATCTCTTCGTTGGACCCCTCAACGAAAAAAGTAGTAAAACTACTTCAGGACTCTACTCTTGGAGGTTCTGTGCTCCAGAACAGCGTACACTTGAATTGCCTTCAATACTAGAGTCAAAAATCGAAAACTATGTTTTGCTAATGTATCCTTTTTGAGATGGAATTTTATCGCATTGACACAGGCTTGGCATCAAAGAGTTCCTAAAGAATCTCTCCCTCACGGAGCTGCTGCAGTTTTAGCTAGCAAATCCTCTTCCGTGGCAGTTTCTTGGAGAGAGTTGTCCCTTGTATCTCAGCATTACTGAATGGAATGTTGTTTTTCCAATTTGTTAAAATAGTTCATTCCAAGCCAGTTATACTACTGCTATCCCAGCATTTTTCCATTCACTATATGTGCTTTTTATAACCACTTTCACCATCCATCTTAAAAAACAAAATGATATTCACGTCCGTGAATCTTGTGTATTTGTGGAATTTATAGGATAGAGAAGCAAGTATTTGTGTTAGTCCATTCTCGTGTTGCTATAGATAAATACCTGAGGCTGGGTCATATATTTGAAAAAGAGGTTTAATCAGCTCATGGTTCTGCAGGCTGTATAGGAAGTGTGGGACTGGCATCTCATTCTGGTGAGGGCCTCAGGATTCTGCAGGCTGTATGGGAAGTGTGGGACTGGCATCTCATTCTGGTGAGGGCCTCAGGAAACTTTCAGTCATGGTGGAAGGTGGAAGGGGAACAGGCATTTCATGTGGTGAGAGCCAGAGCAAGAAGTGAGGAGAGGTGTCACATTGTTTTAAACAACCAGATCTCACCAAAACTCAGAGCAAGAACTCATTATCATGAGGATAGCACCAGCACCGAGGTATTCATCCATTCAATCATGACCTAAACACCTCCCACCAGGCCCCACCTCCAATGCTGGGAGCTGCACTTCAACATGAGGTTTGTGGGGGATAAGCATCCGAACTATATCAAGACTGTAAGCTACATTGTGATCAATTCTATGTTTATATCACATCAGTGCACAATTGAGTGTGGAGAAGGTAACAACTGATTCCTTGCTAAATCCAAACATGCTTAATTTTGCTTCTTAAAAATTATGTATGTATGTATGTATTTATTTATTTATTTTTGTCATAGAGGTCATTAGAACATGAGGAAACCAATATGCCTACTATGCACAACCTTGTTCCTATTATTAATGACCAGTCTCAGTATATTCATCATTTAGAGGCAGAAGTTAAGTTCTGCAAGGTAAGTTTCTCATTAAGAATTTAAAACTAAATAAATTAAAGCTTATATTAACTATACATTGTATACAAATTTGCTACTATAAATCTTCATGTTTGTAGCAATGCATTGACAATTGCTATTCTTACATGATTGAGAGACTGATGTGTCACAAGAGCTTGTCAGACTTGGGAATGATGCTCTTGACCATACCATTTCTGATTGCTTGATTTCGCAGTAGTTCATTACTATGTCTAATGATTTCATAATATGCTCTCATATTTCAGAAGTTTTCCTTCTCACCCCACTTTCTGTAACCCAGCAAATGGCAAATGCTTTGGAATACAAATAGCAATCATTCTCCCACACTTGTCAACCTATTGGGGCAGGGGTACAATAATCAGGGATTCTAAACTGGCAAGACCAGTTCTTCTCCACTGTCAGTATTAGGGCTCTTACTTTGACTTTGAATGAGAATGGTTCATAGGGTACTGACAGTAGTGATCAAGAAACCAAACACATCATATATAGCTTGTGACACTAGAGGGTTATATGCTCAACTGTGTGCAGTTTACTAATGTCATTAATGCTAATAGAGCCTTTTAATGTCTCCAAAGTATGTCGTGTTTTACTTCTTTTCTTTCTCTCCCTCTTTCTTTCTAGTTTCAGTGTATTAGATTGTACAATATTTTTATAGGAATTACTGATATCTCTTGTATCATGTTTTTATATATAGTATATGATATTATGTATTATATTGTTGACATTTTAAGATGATGCAAGGCCAGTATGTAACTTAAGGAGGCTTTAGATGTTTCACTGTCCTGATTTTACCAGGGAATTTCTGATCTTAACATGTAATTTCCTGTTTGTTCTTGGAGGACACAGTCATTAATATACAGGTGGTCTTGGATTACCAGTAAAGCTGAAATAATATCCTAGGAACCATTTCATTAACAAGGCTCTATTAATCCCTAAGATGTTGTGGATAAAACTTGAAAGATACAAAGCAGAATGTATTTACCATCTACTTGAGAAGACAGAACTTTTCCCTATTAACACCATAAGCAGTACATTAGAGAATATAGTATAGGCCTTTACTTCTTGGTATAAGCTATAATTATAATAAGAGAAGAAAGTTAGGAAAAGCTAATGTCTTTGGGAATGTTTTTATGGGAGAGAGAGATCTTGAACCGGTCTTTTTTTTTTCAATTTTTAAAATTATACTTTATGCTCTAGGGTACATGTGCACAATGTGCAGGTTTGTTACATATGTATACATGTGCCATGTTGGTGTGCTGCACCCATTAACTCGTCATTTACATTAGGTGTATCTCCTAATGCTATCCCTCCCCTCACCCCCCACCCCACAACAGGCCCCGGTGTGTGATGTTCCCCTTCCTGTGTCCAAGAGGTCTCATTGTTCTCCATATCCTCATTAGCATTTGGTGTTGTCAGTGTTTTAGAGTTTAGCTGTTCTAATAGATGTGTAGTGGAACTTCATTGCTGTTTTAGTTTCAATTTCCTGATCACAAATGACGCTGAGCATCTTTTCATGTGCCAGTATTCCACCTATATCACATCTTTGAGTGAGGTGTCTGTTCAGGTCGTTCACCCATTTTTAAAATAAGGTTGTTCGTTTCCTTATTGTTGAGTTTTAACAATTCTTGTTGTATTTTGGATGCCAATCCTTTATCAGATATGTTTTTTTCAAGTATTTTCTCCCAGTCTTTGACTTGGCATTTACTTCTCTTAACAGTGTCTTTGAATGAGCAGAAATTTTTAATTTTAATGAAGTTTAACTTACCAATTTTTTCTTTCATAGATTGTACTTTTAACTTTGCATTTAAAAATTTATTACCAAATCAAAGTTCACTGTATTTTCTCCTTTCTTCTTCTAGGTATTTTATAATTGTTTATTTTACATTTAGATCATGTTTGAAGGACAGTTGTCCATATTTTGGGATCTATTTCTGGGCTATCCTGTTCCATTGATTTACTTGTCAATTCTTTTGCCAGTATCACTCTATCTTGATTACTGTAGCTTTATATTAAGTCTTGAAGTTGGGTAATATCAGGACTCCAATTTTGTTCTTCTTCAATATTGTGATGAGTATTCTGGGACTTTTTTGTCTCCCTGTAAACTTTAGAATCAGTTTGTTGATATCCACAAAATAGGATTTGGATTGGAATTGTGTTGGATCTATTGATCAAGTTGGGAATAACTGGCATTTTGATACTATTGAATATTCCTATCCATGAACATGGAATATCTCTATTTACTTAGATCTTCTTTGATTACTTTAATCAGTGTTATGGTTTTCCTCAAATAGATCTTCTACAAATTTTGTGAGATTTATACCTATTTTATTTTATTTTATTTTATTTTTGAGACACAGTCTCGCTCTGTCATCCAGGCTGGAGTGCAATGGTGCAGTCTCGACTCACTACAACCTCTGCCTCCTGGGTTCAAACAATTCTTCTGCCTCAGCCTCCCGAGTAGCTGGGACTATAGGCATGTGCCACCACACCTGGCTAATTTTTGTATTTTTAGTAGAGGTGGGGTTTCACTATGTTGGCCAGGTTGGTCTCGAACTCCTGACCTCATGATCCACCCACCTCGGCCTCCCAAAGTGCTGGGATTAAAGGCATGAGGAACTGTGCCCAGCTACCTATTTTATTTTTTAGTGTAAATGGTATTATGTATTTAATTTCAAATTCCAATGATTTATTGCTAATATAGAAGAAAACAATTGACTTTGTGTATTGACCTTGTATTCTGCAACCTTGGTATAAGTCACTTATTAGTTCCAGCATTTTTATTGATTCTTTGGGATTTTCCTCATCAACAAGCATATTATCTGCAAACAAAGACAGTGTTATTTTCTCCTTTCCAATATGTTTAGATTTTGTGTTTTTTACATTTTTCATTCATTTTTCTTAATTAATTGTTTTGAGATAGGGTCTTGCTCTGTTGTACAGGCTGGAGTGCAGTGGGATGATCATGGCTCACTGTAGCCTTGACATCCTGGGCTCAAGTGATCCTCCTACCCCAGCCTCCCTGGTGGCTGTGCATCCTCCCCAGATGCACACCATCATGCTTGGCTATTGTTTTATTATTATTACTTTTTGTAGAGTTGAGGTCTCATCATGTTGCCCAGACTGGTCTTGAATTCCTGGGCTCAAACAGTCCTCCTGCGTAGGCTTCCCAAGGTGTTGAGATTATAGGCTTTAGCAAATGTGCCCAGCCAGATTTTATTTTTTTATTTGTCTTATTGCATTAGCTAAGACTTTTGGAATGATGTTGAATGGTTGTGAGAGGGGCCATCTTTGCCTTGTTCTTGATCTTAGTGGGAAACTACTTTGTTACCATAAAATATGTTAGCTAAGGTTATTTGTAGATGTTCTTTATCAAGTTCAGAGTATTTCCCTCTATTCCTAGTTACTGAGAGTATAGATGCCTCTCGACTTACAATGGGATTGTGTCCTGATAAACTCGTTGTAAGTTGAAAATGCATTTAATATACTATAGAATATTGGTTGTTTACGCCTGTGATTGCACGGCTAACTTGGAGCTACAGCTCACTGCCACTGCTGCTGCCCAGCATCATGAGAGAATATTATACTGCATATTGCTAGCTTGGGAAAATATCAAAATTTGAAACTTGAATTATGGTTTCTACTGAATGCATATTGCTTTTGCAGCATAATAAAGTCAAAAAAATCATAAGTCAAACCATCGCAAGTGAGGGACCATCTGTGTTTATCATAGATGGCTGCCGCATTTTGTCAAATGCTTTTCCTGCATCTACGGTTAAAATTATGAATTTTCTTCTCTACATTGTTGATGTGACATTAACTGATCCTCAAATGTCGAACCAATGTTGTGTAATTAGAATAAATCTTACTTTATCCTGGTGTAGAATTCTTTTTTACATTGTTGGATTTGATTTGTCAGTATTTTGTTGAGGATTTTTTCATCTACATTCATTAGAGATATTGATCTGTAATTTTCCACTTGTTTTCACTTGGTTCGGGTATTAGGTTAATGCTGGCCTCATAAAATAAGTTAGCAAATACTTCCTCTTGAATTTTATGAAATATGTTATAGATAATTGGTATAATTTCTTTCTTAAATATTTGGTACAATTCACTAGTGAACTTATCTGGACCTGGTGCTTTCTGTTTTGAAAGGTTGCTAATTGTTGATTTAATTTTCTTGATAAATATAGGTTTATTCAGATTATCTATTCTTCCCTCTGTGAGTTTTCATGGATTGTGTCTTATAAAGAATTGGTGCGTTTCATCTAGGTGACTAAATTCATGATCATGGAGTTGTTCATAGTATTTCTTTGTTATCCTGTTTTTTAAACATTTCTTTATTATCCTTTTAATGTTCATGGGATCAGTAGTGATAGCCCCGTTTTCACTTCTGATCTTAGTATATGATAGAATCTAATTGGTATTTTCTCTTTTTTTTTTCTTAGTTAACTTGTATAGAGTCTTATCAATTTTATTCATCTTTTCAAAGACCCAACTTTTGATTTTGTTGTTTTTCTCTAGTGATTTTCTATTTTTAATTTCATTTTTTCACTCTGATTTTTACTATATGTTCTTTTCTGCTTACTCTGGAATTAATTTGCTGTTGGTTTTCCAACTTCTAAAGTAGAAGCTTAGATTATTTATTTGAAGTCTGTCTTCTTTTCTAATTTTTTTGCACTCCTTTTGCTGCATCCTTTTAATAAGTACATAGCTTTTTATCAGTTGTATTTTAATTTTTACTTAGTTGAAAATATTTCTAAATGGATTTTGATACGTCTTGGATTCATGTGTGTCATTTAGAAGGGTGTTGTGTCATCGTCAGGTATTTGGGGAGTTTCCCAGCTGTCGTTCTGTTACTGATTTCTGGTTTAATTCCATTGTTGTCTGACTGCATACTTTCCGATTCCTTTAAATTTGTGAAGGGTTGTACATTGTAGTCTGCCTGGGTGAATGTTCTGTGTGAGCCTGAAGAAAACGTGTGT